CCGCCGCCGTGGGGCCCGGAGCCCGGAGCGCAGCCGCAGCCTCGCCGGGGCCGGCTCTGCCGCCGCGGGGACCTGCGTTGGGGGCTGCCCCGCTCCCTTCCGTAAGTCGACTTGGCTCCCAGGCAAGCGAGGGACGCCGGGGCCGGAGGTGTCCCGGGTGTGGGGCGCGGGGCCCCGTCTCAGCTGCGGGGTGGCGGAAACCCCAGACCCTCTTCTCTAGACTCACTTTCCCGCCGTGTAAACTTCGGCGCCACGTCCCTCTCGGGGATGGGATGGAACGGGGATGGGAGCGTCCGTCCGGGAGACCACGTCGGGGTCCTGGTCCGAGCCCGGCTAGGCTCCGCGCGGGTGGGTGCCCCAGGGGCCGGCGAGGGAGGGCGGGCTGGACGACCCCGGCGTGCGCCTGGCGGATCCCGCACCCCCGCGGTAGAGGCGGGGGGCAGCCTGGAGCACGTCCTGGGAGACGCCGGGCGGAGGCGCCAGCACCCTGGGCTAGCGCGCGGAGCGGAGCGGCCCGGCCAGGAGCGGCGGAGAGTCTGCGCAGGGCTTCCCCTGGACTCCCGGCGGGTGATGAGAACGCGGCCCCGGGGCGCGCCCTGGCTTGGAGGACTGGGGGAAGCGGGTTCCTGACCCGCCTGCGCTGGTGTGCGGCGCCCAAGGGCGGAATCCCCGAGGGACCTGCCGGGCTCCAGCTCCCGCCTTTCGGAGCCACCCGTCGCTTCTCTGTAGCCCTGGACCCGGGGCCGAGCAACGCTTCCTGGGACCCCGGGCCTGGGCTTTCCTGCCCCTGGGGTTCGGGAGAAGGACGTGGGGCGCGTTAAAAGGCTGCCCTTGCGGCTTTTCCATTTAGGGTAATAGGAGGCGAGGGATCCCTTAGTTCTTCGGGAGTCGGAGCTGCCCGCTGCGCTTCCTGGACGCGCCCTCCGCAGGGACAAGCTTCGCGCTTTTTAAGGTCAGGCTGTCCTGCCGCAGAGCCGGCCGCGATCGTCCCTCTGCGAGGTGGCGGCGCCTCTTTCAGCGGGCTGGGCACTTCCGGGGGGGGAATCCCACAAGAGAACTCTGGACCCGATTCGGCTTAATCTTCACTAAGCAAGCGGTGCGAGTGGGTGGATGTTGTTTTGTAAAACAATTCAAGAACTAAGCTTTCCCGGATGGGGAGGTTTCCGAGTCATGTAGCCTGGGAAACCTCGTCCAGCTGGACAGGTGATACCAGCCCCAGGCACTTTCCTCCCTTTTCTGGTCTTTAAAATAGAAGAGCAGCAAACCAAAGGATTAAGAGGGGCTGGGAATTATATTACTTCGTTCAAGTGAAGTTTGGTTGACATGGAAGTCACCCTCCTGATCTTACACCCATAAAACATGCCTCTATTATTAAGCCATCTATCAGCTGAAGACATTCTAGAAACTAAGAGTCCGTTCTGACAGCTTTTGTTGATAGTGTCTTCAGGAAGTAAAAATCTTTAAAAGTGATTTATTACAGAGAGCATTTCTAAGTTGCACTTTCTAAGAAGCCAATTCTGTGAGAAAAATGACAATTAAGATGTTGAACGATTGCTTACTTGTATTAGGAGAGAAACAATAGCCTAAGAATTTGCTTGTGTGGCACCGGCTTTCCCCTGGGAAGACGGAGTTTTCTAAGTGGTGGTAGTTGGAAGGTTTGTACTCTTTCTTTTAGAGGACAAGGTTTATAGGAATTGGGTACAAGCCGCATTTCACACAGAGGTAGATGGGGGAGAATGGCTGATGGGGCAAGAGGTCGGTCCTACCTTGGCACTCGTGAGTTAGCATGTTCAGGACAAGTGGCCATAAACTCCAAATCCACCTTGAATAACTTTGGCTATGCACCAGGCAGGGAGGTGCCGGAAGAGACCGCTGACAGCTGCACAGGGGAGCCATGGTGTTGGGAGCATGGCCTGGTGACTTGGACGTGTCACTCCGGAAGTAAAACGGACTCAGCTTCAGAGGATTTTCTTCTTAGGCTGGAAGGCAGACAGTGGCAGTAAGACAGCAGAATTGAGTGAAGCAAGGTTCAAAAGCCAGCTCCTCAGTGCATGTGTGTTGAGCACTTACTGTGTGCTAGGCCAGCACTGGGTGTTTGAGAGCACAAGGGCCTTCTTGGAGAGATTGAGGTTGGGCCTGAGGGGGAGATGGAGCTACATAAACTAAGGAGAAAAGGGGGAGTAGGCACAATGCACCAAGAGCAGAGGAGAGGGGAGAGAGCAGGGAAAACTCAAGGAGAGGAGCAGCCTGTTATGACTGGGAGAGCATGGAGAATGGCCCAGGGCAGGTCAGCAGGTGCCATGGTGAGGTGATGCCAGGCTGGGGGCCCTAGTGTGGATGGGATCCTCAGGACAGTTTCACACCTCAAAGTAGACTTAAAATGAAACAGAGCACCAGCTGCTGCATGGAGAGTATATCTGAGGCGCCCCTAAGGTAGACAGGCTGGTTCAGAAGGCCAGAGAGGCCTATCATTTGAGGCTGAGATAGTGACAGTGGGATGATAGTGAGTAGAATCAAGGCTGACTCCAGGGACTTGGGGGCTGGTGTTGTGTCAGGGGTGCGAGTGCAGAATGACTCCCTGTAAGTCTGCATGCTATTTACAGAAACAGGACCCTGGAGGAGGAGCAAATCTCAGGAGAAAAGGCAAGTTTGGTTTTGTTGAGTCTGAGCAGCTTTCAAGGCCCCTGAGTGGAAATGGGAAGCTAAGTGACTGGACAGAGCAGGCCCCAGCTGACTCTCCAAAGCCCACCTATGGAGAGCTGATCCTACTGGGAGCCTGGGTGGAGGGAGTGAGAGGGAGATGGTAGCTGAGGACTGGAAGCTCTCCTCAGAGAGCTGGGGCAGAGAGATGGCTTTTTTTTTTTTTTTTCTTTTTAAAGATGAAGGAACTTTCCACATATCTAAATGTGAGTGTGATGGAGCAAGTTAGAAGTTGAACATACCAGATATCTGAAACCCCATCCTCTGGATTATTAGGTAAAAAACAATCTGATTGCAATGTTATTTGATAACAAACTCGTGTAACAAAAAAACTGTTAGCATCTTACAGAAACAATATTTTGAAGCATGTATGACTATGAAATTTGAATTTTTGCCTTGTAGACATGCACATTTAACCTACAAGGGAAACATAGATGACAATGACACAGTAGAGCTGCAGCATGACTAAGGGCAAGGGCCATGGGCTGACAGGCTAAGATCCCTGCCCTTTACTCCGTCACCCCCTAGCTTATGACCTGGCACAAATTTCCTGGCCTTCCTGGCTTGGATACCTGATCTCTGTGTTGCCGTTGCCACACCTAAGGGATAGTACCTCTTCATGGGCTGAGTGCATCACGGGCGTGTGATGTCTGGCACACAGCCGGTACCTAGTAAGCCTTGGTGCTGGTGGTTTTCTATGATGACACTATTTCCATGGTGTCGTTTTGATCATTTCTAGGTGCAGATTCTGAGACTCAGACCATTTTGAGAACCCATCCGAGGTCACAGATCCAAAGAGTGGCAAAGTTAAGGCCAAGATCCCATCTTCCTTACTCAAAGACGGGGGCACTTTCCTCCCAGTGTGTCAACAAGTGTCAGTGCCAGATGTTATATGAAGTGAGCTGTAATGAAAGGATCTAGTCATCACTTCACTGAGGGTAGTGAAGCAAAGCAGGTAACATCGCTGTTGAGGCTTACAGGCTTTTCCCAAGCAATTTAGAGATGTATGTTTTGTTTTAATCTGCATTGCTTTGCATGTTATTTTATAGGCATTCCCATATGCTGGTAATTTTCCTAGTGGGATATAAAGGCTGAAACTTCAAGGCTACAAGAGAAAACAAAATTAATCAGGAATTGAATGCGTCTGTTTCAGTCCTAATTGGCCCCTGAGAATGGCGGGCTTTGGGAAAGGATTGGATCAGTAGTTATAATTTTTAGAAATGATGGGAAGCCAAGTATCATTGGGTAAAAGCAGGTCACAGCTTAATATGTTGTGAAGTTTGGTTTGCTGAACATAATAGAAAAAATGCAGGGAAAGTGGAAGAAGACCAGAGGGAAAATGTCTGTTATATAAAGTGCCAGAAAATGAAGCAGAAGCAGAAACAGAAATTCGCTTTATGAAGCTGAACTAATAAGAAACGCCAGGGGTCAGTAAGTAGAAGGTGAGTTTCTGCTAAGCAATGTAAAATTTTAGAAAGGACAAAGTCTTAAATACACTGTATGAGGCTTTAAGACCAATACATTCTCCCTAGTTTGGACTTAGTAAGAAACAGGCCATCGGCCAATCTGTCCTAGCAAAATCTTAGAAATACAGAATATTAAAGCAAAACAACCTAATTGTGCTACTTAAAGCAGTAGTTCTCGGGACCAGCAGTTAGCGTAATGGCTATGTCGCTGGACTCCCACGTAGTCGACCACGGTTCAAGTCCCGGACCCGGTGGCTTAAACTCATGCCGGGCATGTGTGCGTGCGTGCCCAAAATCCCGAGAGGAGAATGGAGGAGAAGGGATTGTGGTGTGGCCATCCCCTCTGAAGGGTGATTTCTCACTTTCTATCTCTCTGTCTGGCTGGCGAGTGGGTGCCCTATAGCAAAAACTTCCTTAAAAAAAAGGCCACACACCATATAGAAAAAACCTCTAAAAAAAAAAAAAAAAAAAAAAAAGAGAAAAAGCAGTGGTTGTCAAAACATGGTCTCTGGGCCTGGTATCCGAGCATCACCTGGGAACTTGTTAGAAATGCAAATTCTGAGGCCACCCTGTTCTGCTCAGTGAGAACCTCTGTGGATGAGGCCTGACAATCTATATTTTAGTAAGTTTTTTTTTTTTTTAATTATTTGGAGCCAGTGCCGGTGACACAATGCTAGGGCTACTGGGAGCCCCAGGTTCAGTTCTCAGAGCTATGCCGAAGCAGGCTGGGCTCAGTAGTAAATGCTTTGTAATGCTAGCCAACTTAGAGGCTGGGGCAGGAGGAATGTAACGTGGTACGGCCCTGTCAAAATTCTCTCTCTCTCTATGTCTTTTTCATAAAAATACTATATATATATGATATAAAATTATACATATTCACAAACACACACACACACACACATTTGGAACTTGCCAACTAGCCTTAACCTCTCTTTTGAATATATATTTTTTTAATTGCTAGAAGCCACGTGCACTTGCCAGAGAGAGAGAGGAGAAAGAGAGAAGAGAGAGAGAAAGCATCCTCCCATGGGGCACGGTCACGTTGCAATCCTTTTTCCTCAGTTTCTCCATCCCATCAAGTTTGTTGGCGTGCACAAATATGCCCAGCATGTTTTTCAAACCACTGGGGCTACAAATCAAACCACGGGGATCCTGCTCCTGACACACCATATTAATCACTGTACTATGGGGTCGGCCCTTCTCTTTTGAATTTTCACTGCTTTAGCCTAAACCTTCTGTGTGAGAAAGAAAAAAAAAAAAAAAAAGGACAGAAGGAAGGAAAGAAAGAATGAACTCAATTTTACTACATGCTTTCAACATAGATCATTTCTGTGATCCCAAAATGCATGGGGATTTCTTCCCACCGGCAGTCAGTGAGCTCTGCAGTAGATACCGGCTGGGTAACCCCTAATCCAGTTCACTTCCAAGACCACTCCCAGGTCAGACACCGATGGCAAGTTGAAACCCCTGAAGCTTCTGATTGGCCAGCTTCAAGTGAAAATTTTGCCTTCTAGAGTGCTTAATTAATTTTACAGAGGGCTAAAATGGTAAAAATAAGCAATATTTTCCAGGAGTTGTCTCATTTCAAATGACAAGGAAATGTCAGTTGTAGATCCAGTCATGGAAAGCTCAGAATTTCACTTATTAAGCAAATATTTGGGCATTTGCCGTATGCCTGTCTTACACAGGACATAGTGCTGAACGAAACAAACTTGGTCCCTGCCCTCATGACATTTAAGTCTAGTGGGAGAAACCGACATTTTAAAAAGAAAACTTCTAACTGCAT